GAATCTCCATTGGAAGTTCTGGTTTGGTAGGTATTGGAGGTGTCTCTAGAGATGGTGCAGGTAGGGTGTTGGCTATGTTTTCAGGACCTTTAGGATTGGGAGACTCATTAAAGGCTGAACCAATGGCATTGCTGCAAGGATTAAGATTCGCAAAGCAATCAAATTTCCAACATTTGGAAGTAGAAGACTCAAAACTGGTTGTTTCTTGGGCCAGAAGAAAGCATCAAGTGCCATGGATCTATAGGCATGCTTTTAGGGAAATAGAGAACCTGTCACAGAGCTAATGTTACATTCAATTGGGTAAAGGACTGCAAATGGGATGGCCGACACTCTAGAAAAACAAGGGGTCTATAGATAGCAGATGTTTTGGGCACTACTGTAACTTTATTCTAGAAAAACTAGACAGCAATTGTTTTTGGGTACTATTGTAACTTTCATTGAGGATGATTAATGCCTCATTGGAGGACTGAAACCAACATGTTGTACCATTCAGTTTTTTTTATGAATTGTTGTACCATTCAGCTTTCACCTCTTAATTAATTAATGCCTCATTAGTATTTTTTTTTTTTTTGATAAATGAGTGCAATTTTATTAATCAAAGAAAGAGTGTACAATCAGCCTAAGAGGAGCCACGAGGTGTTACCTCCCCCTTGGAGCTGAGCAATATGCAAATAAACACACACTAGCCTGAATTACAATTTTAAGGTAGCCCAAAACAGGTCACCCCTTGTTTAGCCAAAGAATCAGTCGTTGCATTTGCAAATCTGCTAACCCACTGAAACCTAACTGCAATATTTTTGTCAGCCAGTTAGCTTTCTTCAAAAGATCCCTGTAACCCCAAAAGACTTTCTGGATTTGTTAGCCAGCCCACCACCACCTTGGAGTCCCCCTCAATTATCAAATTTTCCACTCCAAGTTGACTAGCTACCTATATGCTTGTTGTACCACTGCTAGTATATCAAACCTTAAAGAATCGCCAAACACCCACTGGTCCTGAGAATAACAATAGGATGTTGCTGTTTTTATCTCTCAGAATCCCTCCTAGTACGTTACCCCGCTTAGTTCTTTATTTGTCTGTTTGACTAACGAATATTGGTTGCAATTATTCTTTTACCCCATACCCAATGCTAACTTATCATGTGCATGAAGCTACAAAACAGCCCAGGCTGCTTTTTCCAAACAGCCAAGCGTTTCCACTAAACAGCGAACCTGATCATAACTCCAAGCCTCTAATTTTCTCTGTAAAACAATATCAATAAAAAAATTCTCTGTAAGATAAAGCAACAAAGAAACAGATTAGTATCAACCTTCAAACACCCCCCCCCAACACACACACAGAGTTAATCTCAAAATACTGAAAATTTCAATATCCAATATCACGCGTGAAAACTGGAAAAAAAACAAATAAAATGCCAAATACAACCTGATGTGCACTGTCAGGTTAAACAGGTGGGGTAAATTTATAAGGTGCCCTACTGGACAGCAAGTTTTTGACCACAGAACAGCCCAAAACAAGTTTTCCCTGAAAGTTCCTTGCTTTGCAAGGGTGTCAGCTAGTCCATTCGCTGACCTCCTTGTCCACTTGAACAGTGCCCCAACCTCCCTTGCTAAGCAGTTTATTTCCCTCATGAATTGTCGATGTACCCAGGCCCCCAAGTTATGTGACTGCAACCACCCGATTAATAGTTTAGAGTCCCCTTCTACCTCAATCTGGTGTAAGCTCCATAATCTCTGCTCTCAAAGAGTCTCCATCACCTATCGGACCTGAATAGAGTGCAACCAGTCTGCCCTCCCTGCCTCTGAAAGCTCCATCACCTATCGGACCTGAATACATTGCTCCTTTAACACAGACCTCAATGAAGAAGAGTTTGCCACAGTGTACCATCCTCTAAACAAATCATCAGCTGAATAATCTTTAAATTAAGGGGATGCTTTAAGCCAATGAATGACCTTGGTAGATATGCAGTCAATGATTTGCTCCTTAGATCTTTCAGAACCCTGGAAGATCCTATTGTTTCTTTCTTCCCAGATTGACCACAAAACAGCTGCCCTTGTTGCTCTCCCCTTCTTCTTTGGAGGTCTAAAGAAGTTCGGATCAAAGAGTCTTACTGCATCTGAAGGAGGGGTCCACCTGCATCCAAAGAGAGAGGAAACCAATTCCAAACAAAGGCTACAAAAGGACAGGATATAAATAAGTGTATAATGGTCTCGCCACAGGCCAAGCAGAGCCTACACACGTGGGATGAAAGGCAGTAGTTTGGCCTTCTTTTTTGCAGCATATCTAAGGTGTTGATTTTCTGGAGTACCACCTCCCTGTAAAAGGCCCTTATTTTTGGGGGTACAAGGTTACACCAAACCTCCTCTGTTGGGAAGGTTCCTGCCAAGTTAGATGAATGGAGAAGAGCATTGTAAAAAGAAGCACTAGTGAAAAACCCAGAAGGAGAGGCTCACCAAATTCTACTATCCAAGCAAGACTGATCAAGGAACTGAGTATTAAGAAGGGCAATCAGATCATCAACCACACCCATTTTGAACTCCCTCAACCCCCTCCTCAGACCCAAATCCCAAGAGTTACCATTCAGATAGACAGAGGAAATGGTTTTTCTTTATTCAACAAAAGAGAGTAGATGGACGGGAATCTATCTTTGAGGGAGACATCCCCAAACCAGACATCTCCCCAGAATCGAACTTTACTCCCTGCACAAGCATCAAGTCTGATAAACGGAAGAAATGAGGGCAAAACACCATGGATAGCTTTCCAAGGAGATGAGCAGGATGCCCTAGGGTCAAGACCAGTATCCCACCTGTTTTCTGCCACCCCGTGTATACTCACTATCACTTTGTGCCACAAGTTGTCCTGTTCCAGAGGTAATCTCCATAACCACTTACCCAACAAGGTTGTATTCCTTAGATTTATGTTTCCTATACCCAACCCTCCACTATCTCTACTTCTAGAGACCACCTCCCACTTCACCAAGTGATCTTTCTTTGTATCCCCTCGTTCCCATAAGAAATCCCTCATTAATTTCTCCAATTTAAAAGCCACACTAGTGGGGATCTTGAAGGTAGAAAGGAAGTAAATTGGTAGGTTTGCCAAAGTTGATTTTATTAGGGTAATTCTTCCTCCCAGAGAGATGTAATTTCTCTTCCATCTTGCTAGCCTCTTTGAGAATCTTTCCAAAACTAGGTATCAGAAGCTTCCTGACCTTGGATTCCCTCCTAAAGGTAATCCTAGATACTCTAACGGCCAATCACCAGCTTCACATCCTAACACTCTAGTAGCAAGGATTCCTACCTCTTCTTCTGATTTATTAACCCTTACCACACAGCTCTTTCCCCAATTAATTTTGAGATTAGAGACCTTTTCAAACTGATTTACCAACCTCTTCAAATTGATTAACTCCTCTTGCTCCCCTCCACAAAAAACAATGATATCGTCTGCAAACTGAAGATGAGTAACCACCACCGTGTCCCTCCCGATTCTCCAACCTCTGATCAAATTATTAGAATCAGCCCTAGCAATTAGAACACTTAAGACATCAGCTACTAGGGTGAAAAGGAAGGGGGAAAGGGGATACCCTTGTCTAAGACCCCTCTTAGCTGGGAAAAAGTCCCTAGCTACCCCATTAACCAAGATGGAATAATGACAAGAGGAGATACATCCCTTTATCCATTTACACCACCTCACCCCAAAGCCTTTATGCCTCAAAACTTCTAGAAGAAACTCCCAATCCACCAAATCATAGGCTTTCTCAAGATCAAGCTTACAGACCAGGCCTTTCTCCTTTTTCCGGCCCTTGAACTCCACACATTCATTTGCGATGAGGATTTGATCTATTATTTGTCTTCCAAAAATGAAGGCACCTTGGTTTGGAGAGATCAAGCAAGGGAGGACTTTCTTAATCCTTTTGTCCAAAACCTTGGAAATGATTTTATACAAGCTTCCCACCAGGCTTATAGGTCGATAGTCTTTCGGGTGGGACGCTTCTGGCTTCTTGGGGATTAAAGCAACAAAGGTTGCATTGGCTCCAGAGTTGAACTTGCCTCTCTCAAAAAATTCCACAAACACTTCCAGAAGATCAACACTAATAATCTCCCAACAATCTTGATAGAAGGCCATTGTGAAACCGTCTGGATCGGGTGCTTTAGACCTTTCCATCGAGAAAATTGCTCTTTTTATTTCCTAGGTCTCAAAAGGTTTTTCTAGATCCACCAAAAGATCTTCGGGGTCGGCCCTCCACTCAAAGTCACCCAAACTCTCTCTAACACCTCCATTGACAGCAAAGATAGATTTGAAGTGGTTCACCAAGGCTTGTGCTATGCCATCTTCCCTAGTTAAAATTTGTCCATCCCACTCCAATTGGGAGATAAAATTCTCTCTTTCTTCCATTGGCCAACAAATGGAAAAAACTAGTGTTCCCGTCTCCTTCCTTTAACCACCTACATCTTGATTTTTGCCTCCAACTAATCTCCTCTTTTCTCAAAATCTCCTCCAATTCTTGCTTAAGCCTCCACATCTCGGCCCTCTCTTCTGCCCTTATTCTTCTATCCCCTTCAAGACCATCTAGCTGTTCTACTTTGTGAGCAATCCAATTTTTCCTTTCTTCCAAACACCTCCCTATTCCAATCCTTAATCTTGGCTTTCAGCCTTTGCAGCCCTTATCTTTTCTGAAATCTGAATTTACCTTTCTTCTTTTTCTTCTCATGAATATGTTGATTTTCTATATCTTGATCTGAAGTTTAACTTACTTGATGAAGATTATGGTGAAAGATGATTCCTGGTTGCAACAGAACCCAAGGAATTACCATAGGATTTCTCAAATGCACATGAGAACTTCATTAACCGCAATCTCTCAAATGGACATGAGAACTTCATACATTATATAAGGAATGGATGTCCACCAAAATAGCTTTCTTGTTTCAACCCATTAATCATATCATCATATGTATAAAGGAGAAGACATACAAAAAGCACACTAGCTAATATTAACACTACAGACCTTATTGCAGACCAAGTCTTGTAGCTCCTCAGGAGAAAGTACAGACAATTTCTTTGAGAGATCAGAGCGCTTGTTGATTGCACCAATGTTAGCTAATGCAAGTTCTCGTAACTACAGAGGCCCAGAAAAAATAAGAAATCAAAAATGTTATCAGAACTCAGAAATCACTAATTATGAATATGGCTACAGGCAACTTATGAGTAAACCTTGGGAATTTTTTTAAATGCTAATAACTGAAAAGCCTGAAGGCGGTCATAGTGAGCCCTGAGCACATCATCATCATCCATGTGCTTTCCATTGTAATCATCAATCTCAAAACCTTCGTAAAACTGCAGCAAGTCAACCAGTTGAGCAAAAAGCTTTCCCTTCTCATGAGTATAAAGAACACTTAGATGGCATTTGGCAACAACAGCAACATCAGCAACAATAGCTCTCAGGTATCTACAAAATTTTAAAAGTTCAACAAATAGCCATGAGTCAAAGAATAATATTTTTAATGTTTGTCCTTTACTCGAGAAACACTGAAACACAGTAGAGATTGAAACAAAGAGGACAGTGATCATTAGATATAACATAGCCAATAAGTACAATCAGAAATGTACATGACAGACATACAATCAGACATAACCATGAGAAACAAAAGAAAATGCACCTAACTCACCCTAATATGCCATGCTTAACAAATCAAACATAATAGCAAATACAGATATGATTACCGTATTAATAAAACAACAGTTCAGAAAGACCGCAGTAAGAGAATATCTGGAGAAAATAACCATTACACCAGAAAAGCAGAAATGGAAACAAAAGCAAACAAAAGTGGCATATTGTTCAATAGATGAGTAAAAACAATTAAAATAGGAAATTCTTGAGCCATACTTTCATAAACTGAAAATTATTTCACAGATACAGATATAAGGTTTTAACCCAAAACACCTTTAAGCAAGGTTCAAAGTATAGATACGTATCAGCCCGTATCGGCCGATACATATCGTGCCGATGGCTTCCCGATACGCCCCTCCAGGGGTTGTATCAGGTCAGACCATGGTTCAGAGGGTAGCCACACCTTAAACCGACCCCTCTGAACCGGTTTTAAAAAAATAAATAAAACTTAAAAAAAAATGTACCGATACAGGCCGATACGCCCTACCAGCATATCGGCCTGTGTCGGTACTTTGAACCTTGCCTTTAAGATAAGATTAGCTACCACTAAAAGCACCCAGAATATTAACCACTATTTTTTTACTAAAATAACGCTTTCATTTTTTTGAAAGGTAAAATAAAAATCTCCTCCAAGGATGAGAAAAGGACTTTCAGAGAAGAGAGGCTAGAGTGGTCACCTCCACAAAACAAAAGTCTCTGGTATTGAGAGAGAGAGAGAGAATACAAGCTTGAAAATCCCCATGCAATGGTCCAGAGTAGACTAAAAATCTCCTCCAAAAGAGCACCTAGATCATAGTCGTCAAGCTTAAAATCCCCATGCAGATGTTCACTAATAGTTTATTGGTCGGTTTTTAGTCTTTATAATAGAACTTGTTGCATATTATCATGTTTTTTGTTGTGAGGAAAGTAAACACAAATTGTCTTCAAGGGTTCCACTTTGACAAGAGAACCAAACAGAGGAAGAGGAGATAGCAAGAGCCCTCCCTCCATCATTCCCAACAGTCCTCTAAGTCAAGGTGAGTGTCTTCTTCTTCGTTTTATGCTCTGTTTCCTTTTTCTGTTGGTTTAAAACAGTGCCTACGCTCCATTTTTTTCCTCTTCTTTTTTTATCTTTTCCCCAAGCTTCTTGAATCATTTCACTGGACTGAAACAGGGGCTCCACCCCCTTCTTTTTTTCTTCATTTTCTTCTTTTATTTCAGTATTTGATCCCTAGTTTTTCTTGGTCTAAAAATGGGGCTCAGCCCCTTTTTCTTCTTAGGTTCTTTTCTTTTCTTGGTCTGAAACAGGGGCAACACCCACTTCAATTCTTCTTTTAAGTCCTAACTTGTAATTTGCAACTTTAATATTTTGTTTTGCCTACTTGAAGCAAATACCGCAAGAACCACAGGCACAAAAGTCAGTTCAGAGGTTTTGAGGTTAATATATAAAACCAAAAAAAAAACTAGTTCAGGAGGGGCAGAAAACTATAGGCTTCTAATTTTTAGATTTCATTGCCTAGGCGAGGCCTAGGTGCCTGGGTGCCTCATGGTCGCCGACTCACCTTGGCACCTTGAAAACTATGTCGAAGATCATTGATTTTTCTATGACCAAATAACCTGGAAGATAATATAATTTTGAACTTTCAAAGAAAAAGTTACTTGAAGACACATTGGTGAAGCAGTCGAAGGGTATTTTAACCACATTACAGGATAAAAATGAAGCACCAACACATGGAAATAAAATGGAAAAGATATTGATAAAAAAAAAAGATAAAAGTGGAAATAATATAAAATATGTACCTCCTAGTTGGCAGCTGGCTTAATAAATCAATAAGAAACTCCATAAACCTCTCACAGTACAAGAGACAAGCATCATCAACTTGCTCAACCCCCCTAGAATCACTAGGATGATCATCTTGGTTGTCAATTTGCTTCTGGAAGAACACTTTTGAATCCAGTATCTGAAAAGAAAATAAAAAAGAGACTGAGTTGGCTTAGACATATCATGGACACTCATAGCTAGGGGTGTCAGTGGACCAGATTCTGGTTCAGTCATATCCTAATCCAATCCAATTTTATTAGATAACCGATAAAGATTATTAAATCAAATTGGATTGCAAGAAAAGTGCTCCATTTATTATTTGATTGAATTGGAAGAGTCCAATCCAATCCAATAAAAATCTTGATATAATTGAGATTGAGAGACAATGTATTTTGTTGCTTCATCTCCTTGGAAATCACCGTCTGGAGTGTTGCAAATCCTAGGTGGGACCCACTGCTTCTGTTGGAAGTTGGTAAATAGAAGGAATACATGGAATGAAAAAAAAAAAAACACAAACACACAGACAATATTCAACTAAGCACACATTAGAGAATAATAATATTTTTATTTGAATAATGAAACCCTAAGTGTTTTGTTCAAGGATAAAGAGAATGGCAGATGGCTCCCACTCCCCAAATAATCAACACCTATCCTCTTGCACTTGCACGTGTAGATGGTCACCTAGCTTATTGTCTTTCTTTAACCTGCCAGCTCAGTTACATCTCTCTCCATCTTAACTGGCTACATACATTTGAGATCACCAACTTTTCCTTTAAAACATGTGGGTCCCACAAATGTAAAAGAACAAACACTATATTAGAAAAATATATTGGATTCTGAAATCATTTAAAATCATAGTGGATTAGATTGCTGTTAATCCACTTTTTATTGGATTGGATCAGATTTTCCATTTTTGGATTCAGATTGGATAAAATCCAGATAACTTGGATCAGAATGTTATTGGATTTGATTGGACCAGACCAAAATCTCCATCAATAGCCTTCTACACCTGGCTACTACAACAATAACAAAATCAATTTTAGTTCAATAGTACCTCTAGAAACTCTTCAATCAGGCTTCTCAGGAATTTAACTTCAAGCATACTTGAAGGGTTGAAGGGCTCTCTTCTTTCCTTGGCTTCCTTAGCCTCTTTTGTAATCATTCTTTTCCACTTCTTGATTCGTTCTTCTGTGTGGTTGCATAACTCCATCTACAAATCAGAAACAAAGCCATCAACTGAAACACATCTATTATAGATGCCAAAAAATTAAAAAAAAAAAAAAATACAACTTCTTCAAGAAAGGTTATGGAGTTGTGCAGGGAAAAAGGTATTAGGAGCTATAAGAAAAAATTAAAAATAACCTTATGATCTTACCTGAAATCGACCAAGTGAGAGACTATGCCATGACTTTAGACTTGCTAACTTCAAGACAGTCTCACTGACAATTTCATCTTCCAAACTCTGGACAAAGCACAAATAAAAAAGTAATGAAATTTCTCAAAAAAAAAAAAAAGAACAATCGTCTTTAGTTGTAGAAACTAAAGTATATAAGAGAGGTGAATGCATATGGTATCTTCAAAGTACAAATAATGCAGACAGCAGTCAAGCATTAGCATTTAGGCATCAGTCATTTGGTGATATATGTCTATTTGAAAGGTGCAATTTATAGAACCAGAATGCATGACTTCACAAAGTTAAAGTTGAACATTATATAAAGATGAATTAAGAAAGAAGAATGTAAGAATTAAAAAATAAAAATAAAAAACAGGAACATAGTTGTCAAGGTGATGCCTAGGCACGCCCACCCAGTCCTAGGGGTGCAACTCCGGCTTGCCCCAGTTAGTATTTTACAATGCTTTGGGCTTAGGCATTCGGTCCAGGCTTATTTTGTTTTATCAGCAACAGAAATTACATTCTTTAAATGAGTTTTAAATCATTATATACAGTACTGGAACTTAATCCAGCAACCCATTTTTATGTATACAACCCATTACAATTCTGCCCAAAAAATTTGGTCCTTATAAACCCCTTCTTTTGCTAGGACATCAGCCAGCCCATTTGCCATTCTTCTCACCCATCTGATGGTAACTTCCACTTCAGTTGCCCCGATTACAAAGCTCACACCACACCTTCATTTCTGAACACTCACCAATTCAGGAGGGTCCAAGATTACTCATTGAGCTTCTATCAAAGTTCAGTTTTATGCACGGCCAGGAAGGCTCGACGGGCGATGAGAGGAGTCTTGGGATTCATGAAGTGCGGCTGCAGAATCTTACGGGAATAACCCATCTCCAAGGCTTCAAATTGTGCAAGGCACAAATAAAGGGGTAAATCAGGAGAACCTGAAGCAGAGCAAGAATACATAAACAAGGGGTAAACAATGGGGAGAGAGGACAGATTGCCAGATTATCCAAAGGACAGGAATGCTTCCCAACCAACTCAGGGAGACAGATAATTACCAACTCTCGGAACTAGTAAGGGAGGCTGAGAACTTTTGCCCAGATCCAACTCCATCCCTCTAGACAAACCCAGGAAACTGAGTAAATTCAGTTTTTGCTACTGATGCATTTTCTATGTCCTATGTTCCAGATTCCGATCCCATTCCAAGTTCAGCAGCCCTAGTATGTGAAGCCAACAAAGATGGTGGGTGCTCTAAGATTGTGGAGAGGGTGATGAAGGAACAGGGGGGGGAGTTGATAGGGAGGTATAGGAATGAGAAGGTGTGGGAGATTATTCAAGGAATATTTAGTGAAGTGGAACAAAATGTGTTGTGGAGGAAGGATATGAATGAGATAAGAGGGGAGGGGTCAATTGAGAGGAGAGTAGGAAAGGAGAGGAGAAATGAAGGGGATACAGGAGAAAGGATTCAATAGCAGAATTTGTGGGGAAGTTGGGATGTAGAATGGAAAACTTGAATGTCTTGAAAGGTGGCCTACAAAAGAAAAAGGAGGAGATCAAAGTGAAGAAAAGGAAACTGAGTAAAGTTGAGAGGTTGAAAAGGCATTTGGAAGGTGATAAGAAATTCGGGGTGAAAGGAGACAGAAGAAAAGGGGGGAAGTAGTGGGTAGGTGAAGAAGGGAACTAAAAAAGAGATGATAATGAAGATACTTAGCTGAAATGTGAGGGGAATAAGAAGTGCAAGGAAAAGAGCAATGATTAAAGAGGTGTTAAAGAGGTTTGACCCGGACATTGTATTAATACAGGAGTCCAAAAGAATGGGGTTTGATAGTAGATGGGCAAAGAGTGTATGGAAAGCCAAGGGGATCAGTTGGGTGGCTGCCCCATCATGGGGAGCCTCAGGGGGGAGAGTAACAATGTGGAAGAAGGATGTGGTTGAAGGTGTGGAGTAATTAATTGGGAAATATTTTGTCTCATTGAAGTTTAAGCAACAAGAGGATGGTTATATATGGGTACTAACAAATGTTTATGGACCAAATGATTACAGGGAGAGGAAGGAATTGTAGGAGGAATTGGCTTATGATAGAGGACTATGGGATGGGCCTTAGTGTGTGGGTGGGGCCTTCAATGTGATTAGATTTATGGAGGAAACCAATACTATTAATCAAAGGGTGACAACCAGTATGAGGAAGTTTAACCGGTTTGTGGATGCCTTTGAACTCAAAGAGATACCTTTAGCCCACAAGACATTCACATGGTCCAATCTCCAATCGAGTCCCATTTGCTCTGAGCTTGATAGGTTCCTATTCTCATTGGATTGGGAATACCACTGGGGGAACTTAGCCTCTAGAGCTCTTCCTAGATTGACCTCGGATCATTGGCCAATTGTGATATGCAAAGAGGAGAAAAGGAGTAGAGGACCTGCCCTTTTAGGTTTGAAAATATGTGGTTGATCCGCCCTGGGTTTACTACGAGAGTAAAGGAGTGGTGGAATGAGTGTAATCCAGTTGTGGAATGGGAAGGCACGAGGTTTCATAAGAAACTACAATTTCTGAAAGCCAAGCTCAAGGAGTGGAATCAATTGGAATTCGGGAGGTTAGAAGAAAGGAAGAGCACCTTGATGGATCAAATTGAGTTCCCTGATTCGAAAGAAGAAAGGGGAGAATTTGGAGAGGTAGATAAGGAACAAAGAAGATGTCTGAGAAGGCAATTAGAGGATTGTCTACATAAGGAGGAAATAAATTAGAGGCAAAAATCTCAATGCCAATGGCTACAAGAGGGAGATAGAAATACCAGATTTTTTCATTTTGTGGCAAATGGGAGGGGAAGGAAAAACTTTATCTCAAGACTGGAAGTGGATGGTGTTGCTCTAACACAACAGGATGAAATAGCAGGGGCATTTGTAGAACACTTTAAGTCCATATTAATAAGGCCATTAAGTAGAGGGATGTGGCTAGAAGGACTTGGTCAGGTGTAGGGGCGGGCAATAGGCAAAGATTGGAAAGAATGTTTGAATTGGAGGAGATTAAGGAGGTTGTGTTTTCTATGAAGAGAACAAAAGCTCCAGGCCCGGATGGTTTTACAATGGCTTTCATGAAGACTGTTGGGATATCGTGAAAGGCGACCTATTGCTAGTGTTTGAGGAATTTTATAGAATAGGTGTGTTTAACCGGGGCCTGAACTCCACTTTCTTAGCATTGGTTCCGAAAAAGAAAGATGCATTCCATCCAAAGGACTTTAGACCAATCAGCCTGGTAAATAGCTTGTATAAGATCTTAGCAAAGGTTTTGTCTTTGAGGATGAAGGAAGTATTGCTAGTAATAATCTCTCCAAATCAAGGATCTTTTGTGAGTGAAAGACAAATTACTAATCAAATACTGATTGCCAATGAAAGTGTGGAGAATTTTAGGAAGGACAGGAAGAAGGTAGTGGTTTGTAAGCTAGATTTGGAAAAGGCTTATGACTTGGTGGAATTGTCGTTCTTGATGAAAGTTATGACCAAATTTGGGTTTAGGACTAGATGGTGTAAATGGATCATGGGGTGTGTTCGGAACTGTCATTATTCAGTGCTAGTGAATGGGACAGTGGTGGGTTTCTTTCCAACCATTAGGGGAATAAGATAGGGGGACACCCTATCTCCCTTTCTACTCACTTTGGTTGCTGATGTTTTGAGGAGACTGATTCATAGAGAAGATTCTAGAGGCCTCTTAAGAGGTTGGAGACTTGAGAGGGAGGAAATTCCCCTTACCCACTTGCAATTTGCAGATGTCACAATACTGTTCTGTGAAGGAGGGAACTTGAAGTACATCAGGAACATGAATTTTTTTTTTTTATCAATAACTTTGAAAATTTTCATTAATTAAGATGCTTTAGGATACAACAAAAAGTTGTAAAGATATCAGCATAGAAGTTGACCCAGGACAAAATTACAAATGTGCCCAAAACATATCTGTTCTTTGAACCCCTTGCTTTGCTAAGCTATCAGCCAAACTGTTGGTTGATCTCCTAACCCAACCCACCTGAATTGACATATTCCTTGACATCCATTTGAAGCTTCTAAAATCATTCTTCAGCTGCCAGGTCACTCCTTCCCCTTTTTGCAACCATTTTGTCACAGTTTTTTAGTCTCCCTCGATGATCAGTCTATTAATCCCCAACTCTTTGGCCTTCTCAACCCCATATGCTACAGCTAGAAGCTCTCTGCCCTAGCCGCATCACCCTCCTCCACAGGACCAAAGAACAGAGCAATAATGGAACCATTTTCATTTCTAATGGCCCCCTAATACCTGAGGGGCCTGGGTTACCCACGCAACTACCATCGAAGTCCAGCTTCTTCCAACCCTCTGTTGGAGGGGACTAGGTCTCACACACGTGTCGCCTCATAGATGATGAAGCAACAATAAGTCCCCAAACCCTGAAAAAGTCTTCAACTTTAAAATCTGAAAACAGCTTTAAGCTTTTTACCCAATGTGCCACCCTCAATGTTATTGTTTCAACTAAAGCTTCCTTGCATTTTTCTTTACTTTCAAATATTCTATCATTTCTTTCCTCCCAAATGGTCCAAAGTATTGCTGCTCTAGTGCACCTCCAAAGAATCCTTCCCCTCCTCATCTTACCACGGAAACCATTAGGGTTGAATAAACCTTCCACCCTGTCAGGAGAGGACCACCTGCACCCAAAAAGGAAAGTAGACCAATTCCAAATAAAACTGACAAAAGGGCATGATAAAAGGTGGAAAACAGTCTCACCACTCAACTTACACAGGACACACCAATTAAGGGACAAGCACCAATTTGGTCTTTTCCTTTGAAGTACATCAAAGGTATTAATACAACCATGAAAGACTTTCCAACAAAAAGCACTGATTTTAGGGGAAATAGGAGGGCACCAAATTTCTTTGACTGGAAACTAAAGAGAAGATTGTGTGGCAACCATCGAATGTAGAAAGGATTTACAAGAAAAAAAAATCCATCAGAATCAGGACCCCAAATTCTAGAATCTGACCCACCTTCCCCCAAGAAAACTAAATTCAGCAATCCTAACAACTCGGATACTACAAGCAG